ACCGTCCTAGCTATCACCGGATCAATAGCATTTTGACGGAATGAAAAAACGATGAGTCCAAAAAAAACTAAGATAAAAATTTTAGATCTCATGAGGACGGAGTTATTTTGGAAAGATTCAATAAGAAAAGATAATGGGCATGCTTGACAATTACCCTTTAGCACTTTTTCAATTTCCTTTTTTGTCAAATTCAAAAATTCAGCAAGCACTACCACAGGATCTACCTTAATGGGTGGTTCGACTATATCCAACTCAATCGATTTCCCAATGGCAATACTGTATTCTTCCAGAGTCGGTGTAAGCTCAAACTTACCTCCCAACACAAATGTGGTTGTCTCGGAGCACCAAAAATGAGCGAGTGCTTGCATGATCCCGCTCTAAACATCTATGTCTAGGATTGGCAGCATGAATCCAATATGCTTGAGAACGTACTGCTGACCATCTGGCTTCAACTGGCTCCATAACTTCTTGAGCTCTAGCTTCGGAGTAGGCACGAAACGGATATTGAGGCGACCCATTCTTATAGACCACGTGCCAAAAGACTCAACCTAAACCATAGACCGACTCAAAATAAGATACAGAAAACCAAAGATAAAGCTCGAGAAATTACCGTCTTTGGGGAAAAAATGTCAATCACAGAGACGTGCACATAAATCGTGAGTTTAAATCTTAATCTATCTATCCTAATGGCTTTTGCAAAGTGAAATGATGAACGGAACGACACGTCGCAGCCTCGCGTACAACCATCATGACTAGTCGCGGCCTCGCATACCGTAGTCATGACTAGTCGGGTCCAATCACTTCGGCTTGGTTCGGTCGACAAGGGTAACCTCCATGCATTGGAGCCTCACGTGCATGAGGACGACCCTTGAGCCATTTTTTGAAAAAATTTTCGAGATCCAAATGGGATAACCTTTAGCGAAGTCTTACCGCCAAAGTTAAAGAACCATCCAAATACCATCTTAAAACTATGGGTGTGACCCAGGTCCGGTCACAGGTTGTGTGTGGTGTAGTGCAAATACTATAAATCGTGCACAACAATTATATGCAAACACCACTTCAATAGTACAAAAATTAAATCATAATTCCACTCTACCAAGCCTGCAAAACAAAGGGTTAGCCAATCACTACTCCCCTTATAACTCCCATCCTGCAAAACCATTTAACACCTAAGAATGAGAATTCAATCAAATTTTGTCAAATCAAGTGATTTTTCCATAAAAAAATTTTGGCCTAAGTCCTCCTTAAATTTTTTTTTTAAAAAAATTCAAGTTAATATCCCCAGCGGAGTCGCCAAGCTGTCGCGACCTAAAAAAATTGGGTTTTCCGATCTTAGGCTAATGGATTACTAGATCAATTAAATTAACTAACCTAGCTTGAGTTCTCCCAAACTCTACCAATTCGCAACTTAGGTCCAATTATGAGCATGCAAATATTTTCAATGGGAGTCGCCACTAATCATTTAAGGTAGGTTGATTAGAAACCTAAATAAAATAGCGGGAGTACTATTTTATTTCTGCGAATCAGAAATTATGGATTCGATGGCTTGGTTACGCTAGATTCCCTAACGCCCTTTCGGTATCAATTTCAAGAAAAATACTTAATTTGACAATTTTGATAAATCCTGACTTAGAGTTCAAAGGTGCAGAAATTTTCTTTTTTGATTTTTTTTATTTATTTAAATGAAAGCTAATCTATATGTAATGGCGTGCAAAAAATTGACATACGATTAATGCAACCTAACATGCAAACTATATGTCATGCGACGACGTGACCTATTTCTAATGACAGGTATATTATTTTTTGTATTTTTTTCTTTAATGAAATTCGGAATTAAAAATGCCAATTATCTAAACATGCAATTTTAAACTAAAGAAATTAACCTATTCTAGAGTAATATTTTTGGCATTTTTTTATCGAAATTCGAAATTAAAATCCAGTAAAAAAAAATATAACCGCTAAATCTTTCAAATTAAGTTTCGATCTGAAGCCTGATAGATCGATCCTAAAATTCGAAATACCCGTTATGAAAATAACTCTATCTAAAGCCTGATAGATAGATTTATTTCCACGTGTGCGGTTGCGGATTAGGAACTTTTCCTAATCGATCACATCTTGAAAAAATTTAGATATCTTAAATATCTTGGATATATTCAAAAGATTTTGAAAATTATAAATTCTATCCAAATTTGAAAAGTAATAAATATCCAAGATTTCAAAAAAAAGGAAATAAAATCCTAATTGGAATAATGCTTATTATCCAAATATGCAAAATTAGATATCAATAAGCACAAATTAGGCAACCAAATATTCGAATCAAATCGGGATATGATAATTACCTGATTTGCAGATTTCTTTCCTAATTTGAATCTGCAGCTGATCGGGATTGCGGATCGGAACGGGGTGGCCAGCGAATGACGGTGGCGGCGACGGCGACGGCGTCCGAACCAGCTCAGCTCGTGGTGGTGGTGGAGCGAGGACCAGCAGTGAGGGGCTCAACTGGCCGCGACGCCAAGGACAATGGCACCTTGGCTAGGCTCCAGGCTCACGGTTTGCTGGAATGCTTGTTATGAACTCGCTGGGGTGGTTTGCCGAGCCGAGGAACACATTGATCTGGAGTGGAAGCTATCGCCTGGATTTGTTCGACGTGTGGCTACGCTTGTGCTGGACCGTCGACTTGGTTGAACAACAAGCAAACACCGGAGAAATTGGATCAAGCGACGCAAGGTAAGGACTGGAGCCCGCCTATTTACTGATTTTGCTGAAAGAACCGCTGGAACACTGAATCGCAATAGCACGGACTGAATTGGAGTTTTGGAACGTAAGATGCCGCTGATTTGGAGCACAAGAAGCAGTAAGACCCAAGTGATGGCGTTGGTGTCAGTGGTAGACAACGCAATACTGAAGAAAACTCCAACTTTTGACTTTTCCCTGCACTTGCTCTCACTTTGTGAATTTCTGTGTGCACTTGACCATGTCTAGTGTTGACTAGATTTTATTGCTTTGGCAGTGTGTCTTCAATGGCTATTTCCCTCGAACGATGGAAGTGTTGGCGCGGCGATGATGGATGGTTGCCAAGCGCGGGAGGAACCACCGCGGGAGGAGAGAACTTCTCTTCTTTTTCCGCCGTCAATCTCGCTCTCCAAAAAAATTCTGATCTGGGAATTACGAGAGCCTCCCCCTCTTTATGAGACATAAACATATATTTATAGTGTAAACCTAGGTCAATTAGCCGGGCTTTATAATCCTAATGGGCTTAGGTTTAAGCTTTAATTTAATTCTAAGTGGGCTGAATTAATTTGGGCTTTTCTTTAATTAAGCATAATGGGCTAATTTAAGCTCAAATTAAAACAACCAAGCCCTTTTGCGTGTGATTTTCGGCCCATGCTTTCCGAGTGAGCCGAGTCTCGTTCGGTGCCCGAGCTCGATTTACATGATGAATTTTAAGCTCGCTTACCACCGCCGATCCAATGCGAAATACAGTTAATCTATATGAACCTAAATTTTATGCTATGTGATTTGTAATATTTTTGTTCACGGGTTAAAATTTGATCCCATTTTCTATGCAATTAACCACTAAATGATGCGCCGAAATTTAAGTGTCAACAGTAAGTCTGTTCTCAACTTATAACAATGGATAGGTATGGAATTTGCAATCGCTTGGCCTTCTTAAATTGACCGGCTTAGCCTAATCAAAAGCCACCGTGGTTACCCGAGCTTGAGGACGGCAACTCGCTGTTCCGCGCAACCCCCTCCTTCCATCTCTTGGCGCGCGCGCAGAGAGAGAGAGGGAACATTTGACAAGCACCATGCAGCGGTTGCTGAAATTATTGCGAGCAAATATGTCCTCAAAGCACCTGTTAAGCATGCTTGATTAGAAATATTTCAATTTTGAAGACGGTGATCAGATCTAGTAAGAGAAAAAACCGTGCATTGAAAATTGCAAAATTTCCTTAATTGCTCATTTCACCAGTGATATTGGGACACCCGCTAACAAAACCATAGTAAATTGCTAACGTTTGATGTATTATTATATCTTGTAAAAACTTTCGGATCTATTTTTTTCATCTGTAAAATTGTTCTTCGGCATCAAAGTGGCGATGGTTGGTGGTGGAGTGGCAGCTATTTGCATCTTAACGAGGGACTCTTAAAATTGAGTTATTTGGGTAAACATAGGTTGTGCCCAGAGGTGAATAACTGCGTGCTCGGTGTGCGTTGGGCCTGTTCTGTTGCTCAGGCCCACCCATAATTAATATTAATGCGTGAATATTCGAGCAAGATCGGGTGGACTTTAAAATTAAAATAGCCTTATTCAAAACCATCAAGAATTTTTTTTCTTTGGCAAATTATCGCGTTTAGATCGTGCATTATGGATTAGGATATGACGGTATGGATCATCACAATGTACCATAGAAGAACCAAATCTTTACCCTGAGTATTGGGCGAATTATGATACAAAATCGTGATTATTTGTGAAAGGCACGCATAAAACTAAATTGTCAAACTAGAAAGCTAACTACTTAGTATAAAATAATGAGGAGAGAGGAGAAGGATGGAGGGCAATAAATTAGTGCATAATTGTTTTGCTACTTTGGTGGAGAAATCACCGATTTTATTTTTTTTTGCAAGGACGAGTGACCAATTCTAGTAATCTAAAGTCTAGGTGGCACACTTTGAAACAATACTTGAAGAAGCATTTATACATACATACATTTTTTTTATCTATTCTTTCTTTAACTCTTCTTACTCTTCGACCTTTTGCTCTGTTTGCTCTGTTTCAAGAGTCCAACACCATACTTGTAATACTAGCGTCCCCACCCCTCAATACCTTTACTAGCAGGATCGCATGTCTATTGACATACATACATACATACATACATAGTTTTAGGTTAATAGAACAATTTGAGATAATTAGGCCCCAATTGGGTTCCTCCACATGTGATCCAACCCAAACCCGACTTAGGCCCACTCGTTTGCTACCTCCATGACACTAACTTGCCTAATCTCTTTAAGATGTCTTTGCATTGTAACCGTAACCATCGAGCGAAACAGAGGGAAACTTCATCAATCCAAGATGACACATGAAGATACGTTCAAACCTAAAAAGAAGCAAAGCATACTACTTTGGCTATGAAACGAAGGATCTCATCCAACCCCGCGAAAGACTCCCAAATGACCACCTAACTCACTAATCAAAAACATCATCATATAAATTTGGCATCAAAATGCGACTCAAATTGATCACTCTTCAGCTTCTAGCGAGGCTTGGGCAGAGGAAGGGATCGAACCCGCTTCGGACCATCCTCCCGAGCGGCCAGAACAGCGGCGCGGGGAGGCTGTCCCAGTCGTACCAGCCCCACCCGTGGCATTTGTCGGGCTCCCGGTTCTGGGGCTCCTGCTCGGGATCGGCCAAGCGCGCCCGCACGAACACGGTGACGTAGTGCGCCGGCGTGGGCTCTTCCAAGAACACGTTGTTGGTCACCGTCAGGAGCTCCGCTCCGTCGACCCTGAGGCCCGTCTCTTCCTCCACTTCTCTCGCGGCGCACTCCTCGAAGCTCTCCCCTGAAACCACCCACACCCAAGATCAGCTTGACGCTAGAATTTCACTGCAGGACACAGGGCCTTGAAAGGCAAGAAATCGATCGCTTCTCCGCTCTATGGCATTCTTCCGAAAATGAGTTGCTTGGAGAGAGAGACACACACCGAATTCGAGGTGGCCGCCTGGGAGTGCGAAGGTGGAGTCGCCGACGGCGGACCGACGGCGGCCCAAGAGCACCGCTCTACCCTTGAGCAAGAACACGACCACCGCCACCCGCGGCACCCGCGACGGCGCCGATCGGTCTCCCATCTTCTGAAGAACGAAGATTACTCCTTGAAAGCTCGAAATTTTTTTACGAGGGCGGCTTTCCAATTGGACGAAGCGAAGTGGGCAATTCAGCAGCACCTCCATTGTTATATAGGGGGGTCGAAAAGTTGAAGGAGAGGGGAGTTTCGTGGGCAATTTATTACCCGCTATTTTGCTTCGCCAGTTCCCGCCCATGCTGACTTTGACGTTTGACGCTTCTTTGCGCTTTTGCTGTCCCTCTGTTTCTACGACTTGAGCGGCACGAAAAGAAACAGGAAGTTAGGCCAAATTATTTAAGTTAGTCATCCCGGCTCGAAAATAAAATCTGACTAACCTTTAAACTGATAAGTTTGCAGTTGTGAAAGAACCAGAAAAGTACAGATAGAATCGATATTGTGGTAAGCAATTCAAGAGAAAATGAGTAAAATGGGGGGTCTACGTCTACATGAATTGAATAATAGTGTTTGAAATTGTTACCCATATAGGTAAATTTGGGTGGACCATCGAGCATGATGGCGCTAGCGTGAGTCGCCCATCTTCTAAGAGGTCAAAAGCTTAACATCATATCATGAACGAACCTCTACTTAAATTATGTCTTGGATATTTTGTTACGGTGTGTGGAGAGAATCTTGACTTTTAGAATGTCGATGAGACTTACAATGACAGAGTTATCAAGTTTTGACCTTCGAGTTTAGAGTGAATCATGTCAATGACTGAAATCAAATACTTATAGAGGATATTAGATTCGTATGACAACGCTAAGAAAAGATTGTTGCGTTGGTTAGACATCCCCACGGGGGGATTAATGGTAGTACAAATACTTGAACTTTTTTATCATTAGTCAAACAAGCATGAAACGCCGCTCGCTCCATTTCTCTTCTCCATCTCTTAAGCCGCGTTTGGTCGACCGGATAAAAGTCAGGATAGGATATATTTTATCCTATCCTGTGTTTGGTGGTGGTCCAGGATAAGATAAGGTCGGATATAGACCGGATATAGCCCGGATAAAAAAAATCCGAGGGGGGAGGTGGGATAGACCCGAATAGGATTTCTAATGCCTATTTTTCTAGAAACACTATGCTCCACTCGCCGTCATCTTCATCCCCACACCTTGTGCGCTTTCACCAAAAAAAATTCTCGGGTTTTTTTCCTTCACCGACTCCTCCGGACACGTGAATAGAAAAAAAAAATTATCATATCCAACTTTAAATCCGTAGTCCACCAAACAGTGGATAGGATATGAAAAAATCCCAGGATTTCTTATCCTATCCTATCCAGTCCTATCCTGTTTAGAAATCCGGACGACCAAACGCAGCCTTAGGGTTTCCTCTCTTTTCCAGCCGCCAACCCCTTCTCTGAAGTTACGTTCTTGAGAGAGAGAGAGGGACGCTCCCTTCTCCGTCTCCCTATTTCTTCCTCTGCAAGAGTCTGTCAAGACTTCTTTGTTGATTTCATGGAAGATGTTGGCAACTTCCTCCACGGAAGTGAAGAGTTTTGTCCCAATGAGCATTGAAGATCGAAGTGCAAGCGCCTCAAAAGAATTTTGCCCTCTTCGGATTTGCTCGCTCGCTTTGGCTCTAGGTGCTTGCTCCTGAAAGTTGAGCGCTTTGCAAGTCTCCGAAGATCCTCTCCCGCTGTGTTCTACGATGAGCTTATCTTATCTAAAAGTGATTTTGGGATAAACTGGTATCTGTTTAAGAGCTCTTCTCTCTCAATTTGGAGTTAGATCTAAATTTAGATGCTCTTCTATCCCGATCTAAATATAAATCTAGATATAAATATAGGATTTACAAGGCATTATTTGTGCTCTTTCAATATATTGGTGTTATTATTGTCTCTATCCGGTGATAGTGGTGAGGACGCCGAACCTAGGCGCGCATTCCCTTTTGACAAAACCGTAGCTACTAGAGAGGTAAATTTCGACTTGTGCTTATCGCTATTGATGATGCAAGTTTAGATGATCAGCTGTCGGTGGTGCTCTGATGCTGTGACAAATCCATTTTTTGTGAAATGAGCGAGTTCCTGCAAGTTATACCGAGTTGATTCATTTTTCAAATTTGCTCTAGACTGTAACTCTTTAATATTGGTTTTGTCTTGAAGTTATGTATCTCTTTTTCATGTGAAACTAGCATGAAACTCTTTTTTGTTCCATCTAGCCCTTGTACTTCTTAAAATCATTTCAATTCCATTCTTCCATTATATCTATTTACAAAAATTACTGCCGTGGCAGCTCACACGATTAATTAATCATTAAGTTTCAAATTTGGTCTAGACTGTAACTCTTTAAGATTGGTTTTGTCTTGAAGTTATGTATCTCTTTTTCATGTGAAACTAGCATGAAACTCTTTTTTGTTCCATCTAGCCCTTATACTTCTTAAAATCATTTCAATTCCATTCTTCCATTATATCTATTTACAAAAATTACTGCCCGTGGCAGCTCACGCGATTAATTAATCATTAAGGGGCTGTTTGATAACCTGCCAAATAATACCCGATTCTATTATTTTGTTTCCCAGAATAAAAAAAGAATAGATATCCATTCGGTAAATTTTTTGTTCTCGGACATAAATTTATTCTCAAAATCAAGAATAAAAAAAAAGTTGATTCTTGATTCTAGGAACAATAATCGGAAATGAAAAATAAATTTATATTCTTTTTCTATTCCAGAAATAGAAATTTTGGATAGTTACAAAACGCTTTCAAACCCTTAGAAATTGTTTCCGGGAATGAAATAAAAAAAATCATTTCTGAATAGAAATTATTTTCGAAAATAAAATGGTTATCAAACATATCCTAAGTGTCAAAGTTGCCATTTGACATGTCGAATCGAGTGGGCCGCATGCTTGCCCATCTTGCTATCAAACCATAATCATTGACACGGCTGAATTACTAATTAAGCTTTGATCAGTCGTTTTATGAGATGAGGAGCCGCTTATCAAAATTCGCAAGGGGGCAACGCGACTATAGGAACAGAGTGTCCCTTCGCAGCACCGAAGGAGCAGAAGATTTCCAAGGCCCCCGTTCTCATCGTACTTCGATTCAATTCATGTTGCCATTGGATGATCATCGTGATGCAAGTCACGATGTGCACGAGCACGTACCCGACACGATTACTTTCCCAATGGGGACGGTCAAGCGAAAGGGGCATGTCGACATTTGAAGTTGGGGGGGTTTCAAGCAAAAGACAAGAAAGGCATAGATTCATAGGCACGCTTGGAAAAGGTTATTTGACCATTTTAATTCGAAGAGAAAGAACGCTCTTTTCTAGAGAGCTCTTTGTCAGTTGTTACCACAACATGACTAGGGATGAAATTGTTATTTTTGGGTCGAAAACTTGGGATGAAATTGAAAGGGCAAATGGTTTGGGACTTAGAGATACTTAGGATAATTCCTCTTATATATCTGATTTGACTTCATTAACATAATTCCATTTTCTACGTCATTATTCCTATCTTGGTATTAGAGCCAGTCGATTGTGATTTTCACCGATTAGGTGCACGCACAAATGAATCCATCCTTGCCACTCAACAGTTTCGTGCGCACAAGCCTCATCCAAGAAAGCACTTAATCGAATCCATTCCATGATGGTCATGCTTAGACGCGAACCGCATCAACCACGTCGCCCTATCGAGCCTTTTCACGAAGGAGGCTTTTCTTTTGATGCTAACCACATAAGCCACATTGCTCGATTATTGTTTCGCAAGTTAGACGCATTGGCCGCTTGTTATTTCTCCTCCGATTTTTTATTTTTCGCACGTAATTTCGAGAAGCCAACACCACCCCCAGACTCGCCGCCCTCACACTAGCTAGATCTGGAAATTTCGCCACGAATAGTCGGGACGTCGCCTCGTATGTTGCGTCTCTGCTGTTGAACACTGTTCGGACTTGTATTCAAACTTAAGTTGACATCTTCAATGCATTTTGAGGGTATGCTAGAGATATATATAAATATTTCCTATACATATTTAGGATAATTTCTTTGATTTTCCATATCTCTTTTGATTATACATATCTGATTTGATTTCCTTAGATAGTCATCTAATAAAACCAATAAATAGGCTCATGTATTCCTTTCTATACACATCGAAATATACAAAAATTCCTCAAATCTATCTTCCACATTATTATTAACTGGACGACTGATCTCGTCCGGCGTAGCTCAACTTATAATACGCTAGAGTTAGTAGATTTAGATGCAAAGCATGCACAATCGTGAAAATATAGCTTTCCAATTATTTGATTTTCTTTTTACGACTTGACACGCAAATCTGTTCCATCGCCTTCAAAATCTAGCCTACATATATATTCAAAGTAGAATATATACATAGACTTACTATTATAGATATACTAACATATGCTTAGGAATTAGAAATACAGAATTGAAGATTTTCTATGATCCGAAATTTGCTAAAGCGATCAGGAAAAATTATCAAATCAGTCCTAAACCTATTGTACGGCGGCCAATTCAGTCCTAAACCTTTTAATTTTGCCAATTCAGTCCTAAACCTTTCTAATTCTTGCCAATTCAGTCCTTCCGGTCAATTTTGGCCGCCCGGCGCTGACGTGGCAATTTTTTTTTATTATTTTTTTCAATTTTTTAATCTTTTTTTTTCTTTTTTTTTCTGATTTCTTTCTCTGGCCGGTCTGGCGACCGGCGGCCGGTCAGAGGGGAGGCCGGCGAGGTCGACCTCGCCGGCCTCGCCGCTGCTGAGGCGAGGCCGATCTTGGCGAGGCTCGACCTCGCCGTCGCGAACCAGGCGACGGCAAGACGAGGCCCAGCAGCGGCGAGGCCGACCTCGCCGATGCCTGGGTCGCGACGGCGAGGTCGGCCTCGCCTCAGCAGTGGCGAGGCCGGCAAGGTCGACCTCGCCGGCCCTCCCCTCTGGCCGGCCGCCGGTCGCCGGACCGGCTAGAGGAAGAAATCAGAAAAAAAAAAAAAGAAAAAAAAAGATTAAAAATTGAAAAAATAATAAAAAATTGTCACGTCGGCGTTAGCCGGACGGGCGGGCCTGGCACGGCCATCGGCCAGCCGCCGGTCAAAATTGACAGGAAGGACCGAATTGGCAAGAAATTAGAAAGGTTAGGAGCAATTACCGCCATACTAATAGGTTTATGACTGATTTGATAATTTTCCCAAGCGATCATGAAAGATAAATTACTGGGTAAAGCTCACACGTGAACGTGTCACATGATTTGACCTCTCGCGAGCATACTATTGGAAAGTTGGGGAACACAGCGTGCATGAAAGCTAAAGAGATATCGTCCAAATGGGTCTAGAGATGGATTCATGTGATTTTCTTTTGGGTCGAGTAAGTAATAAAGCATACCCTTTCGTGTGACTCCGGTTGAATTCCAATAGAAAGTACGAATATACTATTATAAAACCACATCTCGAGTTTCACGGATTGGGACTCCTACCCACTCCTCTTTCCCCACACAAAGCAAAGCACTTTCAAGCTCGGGAGCATATAAATGTAAAGATACTTAATACCTAAAAGATATATGATCGAATTGATCGCTGTATAATAGATTTAGAATATTTTGAACAATCACCTCCCAAATTTCACATCGGCTCATCCCAGACGAACTGAAGTCGGCGTGACAAGTTGGCTCGTAAGTCGATCTGCCACGCATACACAAAACGGCAGTGTCATGTTTCCCATCACACATTGAAACACTACCCAACTTGCTTAATTTTTTTTTTTTTTTAAATCTTGGCACATTGCTGTGTAAATCGATGATTGTACCCCATCTCATGAGTCTCCAGGGGATTACTACTTCACGTCAGCTTTGCGGAAGGACGTGACCAAAATTGTACGACCTCAATAATTCTAGGACAACCGTCCAAACATGTGAAAACCAGTAACTATCACATGGTCCTACAAACCAAAGTGCGCCGTGACCTTATGATAGTGACTCTTGAGAGCTAGGGGACCACCCGCTTTCGGTTTTGTATTTATCCTAGCGTACATCCCCAAAACCATTGACTGATCTCAAAAGAATGAACTCGTATCGTAGTTTCGAAGTATTGAAGTCGCAACCTTCTCAATAAATAGTTGCAATTTGTATTGTCTATGTCGCCATGTCGATATCGGACACCGCCTCTCGAAGGAGGGCCGAGAAAAAATCGCGGCCCTGTATCAAAGTCAGAGTACCTACGAGTATTAAAGTCATTACGAGATCTACACATGTTAAGGTGATTGGCGTCTCCGACTCAAAACGGTGAAGATCTTAAGTTAGATTTGAACAAAAACTCAGGGTGAGTTTGTTCACTAGAAAATGAATATTTTACAAAATATTTTTCTAAAAAAATGATTGATTGTATCTTTCACGGAAATGGATGAACGGATAATATTTTCATCATCCACGGAAATAATTAGAAATAAATTGTTGTCGATTATATTTTTTTTCAATAAATAATTATTGGGATATGTACACTAGAAGCTTTAAAACCTTATCGAGTCCTAAACTTGCAAAAAGTACAATAAAACCTTAAAACTTGTCAAACTAGTTTAATCAAGTCATAAAGTTAACACCGTCCAATTTGACTAACGAAAAATGTCGACATTGTTTTTTTTTTATTTTTTATCCTACATGGTAGTGACATGACTTTTTTATTATTTTTTTAATACTAAATTTATTTAATTTAAAATTTAAAAATAAGCTAATTTTTTTTAAAAAAAAGGAGGAAGAGGAAGGACTGCAACCTGCAAGCCCTTGCCGCCGTCGCCGTTGCCACCTCACCATCGCCAGGAGGGGCTTGCGAGGGTGGGGGACAGCAGGCGAGGGCCTACGAACCCTCGCCCAAATCTGGGCCAGGGGTTGCAGCCTTCTCCCAAACTCGGCGAGAGTGGTGTACCATCGGCAAGGGTCGCCAGGCCAAGGCTGGCGACCCCCGCCTGTCGTCTCCCACGCTTGTCGGCCCCTCCCGGTGATGGCAGGGCGGTAACGAGGGCTTGCCTGTCCTCCTCCCCTTTTTTAAAGCTTGTTTTTGAAAATTTATTTTAAATAAAATTAGAATTAAAAATCAAATTTGGCTAAAAGACGTCGTTTTAGTCTTATGTTTCATATTTTAACCACGTCATCGCCATGGAGGAGAGAGAAAATATTAAATGAGCCACGTCAGCATTTTCGGTTAGTTAGTTTGACGATGTTAATTTTAGGACTCAATTGAACCAGTTTGATAAGTTTTATGGCGTGGTTACACTTTTTTGCAATTTTTATGACTTAATTGCACTTTTGTGACAAGTTTTAGTACTTTTAGTGAACATATCCCATAATTATATATTTTTCTCCAAACAAATGGAGCGTAGACATAAGTTTTTGGAATCGAATAGCATATTCCTCTTTTTGTTTTTCCTACCGTGTTAATAATCTCGATTGGCCCAAGGAGATACAAATCAAAAAAGAATTTTACATGGGGAAAAGCTAAGGGAATATCCGTGGGATCTTATTCGCAATGTAAAGAATCTCCAAGCATTTATGCTCATAACCAACCAAAAGCGTCATTTCTATGCTAATGCATTTATTCTTGGATCTAGCCAAAAAAAAAAAAAATATATGCAGACACTTATATTCCGTGCAAATGAACCTAGTAAAGGAATAATGTGATTTGATTTATTTTAGAAAGGAAATTACTTAATGCATGATAAGGAAGGTTGCTTGAATTTTAAACGCGGGTAGGATCGATTCATTTTGGCAGCACGATGATTTGGTTCGCATCTTGGATTACTATTCAATCCACTACTAAGTGATGCATAACCGTTATACGTTGTTCAGCTAGCACGTATGTCTTGTCAAATTTCTTTAAAAGCTTTCGGGTCGGGATTTCTTTCTGGATTTGATTCATAACAATACTCTTTCTAGCATTTATTTAGATCCCATGTATTGAATTTACATGGAAAATGAGTTGTATCAAATTTTTTTTAGAAAAACACATCTCGCTTTTGTTTCGATGGCTAATGTACACACACTCCGCTGTTTTATGTATATATATAATTCGCATGCCTCTAAGTAAAACCTCGCATCACTAAGACCAATTGTCCTTCGGTGTAAACTCATCATCTTATTTAGTGTCCGGAGGGGCATGAGAATTTAGGATCTTGGGATGAACGTGCGTTCACTTATTTTTTCTTTTGGAAAGAAAATGAAGAGGGCACGAGGATAATGGACGGGAAGGCGTAAAGTGGTTTTCGAGAGTAAATCTCGGGAAATATTTAGCGTTTTTTTTTCTTTATAAAAATAGAGTCGCGTTAATAGTAATCGGGTGAAAGATCAAGCCCGCCTTGCGGTATCTTACAAAAGATAAAAATATTTGATTCCTTATAGTATGATTTATTTAATAAACGAATCCGAGGGATTCATCGGGCAGCACATTCTCCGGAATCACCTTGGCCACGGCCCACGGGGCGCCATGCACGGAAAAGACCAAATCTACCCCCCGGACCTCACCGCCCGCCCCGCGCGCGCCCGTTACCCGCTCGGGGGTATTTTCGGCATTGAAAAAGAGCGGGGCCCCCAAAACAGAACAGAACAAAACCAAAAAACTACCGCGTCACGCTCTGCAACTGAAAATCACACACGCTCTCTCACTCTCTCCCCTTCTCTCCATCAAAGCTCGCTGGCCCTCCTCGCTCTCTCTCTCTCTGTCTCTCTCTGTGATCGCGTTGCGCTGCAATCCGTCCTCCGTTTTTGGCTATCGGCGCTCCCCTCCGCCGCCGCCGCCGCCGCCGCCCTTGCCCTTGCCGCCCTTGCCGGTGAAGATGACGGACACGACGGACGACATAGCCGAGGAGATCTCGTTCCAGAACTTCGACGACGACTGCAAGTTGCTCGGCAGCCTCCTCAACGACGTGCTCCAGAGGGAAGTCGGGGGCACGTTCATGGAGAAGATCGAGCGGAATCGCATTCTGGCTCAGGTCCTTCTCCTTCCCCTCTCTCTCTCTCTGTCTCTCTCTCTGTTCACGGCTCTCTCTTCCGATGTGCATGCTCTTCGCTCGTTACAGTGTAGTAGGTAGCCTGCCCGAGTCGTCTCGCCTGTCGTCTTTTCCTTCCCTTCCCGCGGATGTTTTCTGGATTTTGCTCCTTCGTCGTGTCAATTTTGGTCGGAGTCTCTGTTTGGATGATGGAAACCGAGGGGACTACGTTGAAGCTTCGGCTCGCGACGAAGGAAGAGGGAGGTGTGCCATGAAAATGAACGAAGCAAAAAGGGGCCCGTGGATGCTGATTTTTCTCGATCCTATCTATGTTTTTGCATGCTTTCAGTGAAGCGAAACAGAGATCGAAATGCTGAAAGGAAGAAAAAAGAGGTACATGCCTGCGCGACGCGACATGCTTTCCTCTCCTGACGGTTTTTGGTTTTTTTTTTTGTTGTTTCTAGAGTGCTTGTAACATGAGGACGGCGGGAATCGAAGATGCGGCGGAGCTGCTGGAGAAGCAACTCGCGTCCGATATATCGAAGATGACGCTGGAGGAAGCCCTGACGCTCGCCCGCGCGTTCAGCCACTATCTCAATCTGATGGGAATCGCCGAAACCCATCACAGGTAGTTGATTCGGTGACCGTGTTTGTTCGGGTGTCCCGGTGGTCCGGTTGCCATGCTTTGTCCTCTGATCAAACTGCTACTATCTAAATAAGCACTGCCTATCGGATTCTGATCAGTGACGCCCGAGAAATTTTGGGTTATACTCGAAATGGAAGAATCCATTCACGCGAGTAAATAGAGGGACTGAAACTGAAAGTATTACTGAATTCAGAGGTTGGGCAACATTGACCTGTGAGAGAACGAATTGAAATGGCTACAAGCATGGATGAGCAGGAATTTTTATGCATCTCCTCAATTGACATGTTGTCTGTTTGTTTGCTTGGTTCGTAGATAGTTTGATTGAGTATTTGTGTGCTCTCGGGATCTCATATCATCTTGTGCAGGGTGAGGAAGTCACGGAATTTGACGCATTTATCAAGGTCATGTGATGACATTTTCAGTCAGCTGATTCAGGGGGGAGTCTCTCCGGACGAGCTTTATGATACAGTCTGCAAGCAGGTTCAGTGTTCTTGCTTATGTGCTTTCTGGTGGTCCTACCCTCTACTGAGTGTTCTGGTATTTTGATTAGAAAGAATATCAGTGCCGAGTCCCAGGTCACTTGCTATCTAAAAATTCATCTCCACCATACTAAGTGATGGACTATGGTATTATCATCTTGGCATCATAATTTAATGAGCTCTGGACCGGAATGCATGATGTAATGATATTTTATCAGTAACTATGCTTCCTCATTTAGCACAATAATGCATCTAACATTAGCACACAGCATGTAGTCAGTCATCTGGCATTAATATTCTGTCATGTGGCTGATTCATTTTCCTCTTGTTCCTTCAGGGGGTTGAGATTGTTCTCACTGCGCATCCCACTCAAATTAATCGCCGCACCTTGCAATACAAACACATAAGAATCGCTGTAAGTCTTTTGGTGGCTTCAACAAAGATAATACTAGAGAGCTGATGTTTGTCTCTGCAGAGCTCGTTCCCCAGCTCTATTTACTTTATGCATCCTTTTCTTCAGCATCTTTTGGACTACAACGACAGGCCTGATCTCACTCATGAGGATCGAGAAATGCTGATTGAAGATCTGGTATTGTGTCTCCTATCTGTATTCTGGAATCTGCAAAGTGAGTACTTGTGTGTGCATTTGCATGTTATATACTTACACAGGCAGGGTTGCTGGTATGCGTGTGCATGCATGTCCATGTTATTTTCCCGTGTCTGAGACACATCCTTCTGCGCTGATAGGAGCCACTCCTCTCCCTGAATTTCTTTGGGAAAGTTTCTTTGGAGAAATGTTGGCTAACTTGGATTTTTGTTTCCTACTCATTTTTGATTATTCTTGTCTTTTTCTAGGTTAGAGAAATTACTTCCATATGGCAAACAGATGAGCTGAGGCGACATAAACCAACCCCCGTAGATGAAGCCAGGGCTGGTAACCTGAGATACATGCACAATTTAGATACGTGTTGGCAACGATCTAGTTCATTGTGAAACATTTTTTTACATTTCAGGGTTGAACATTGTTGAGCAGTCTCTTTGGAAATCTATACCTCATTACTTGCGCCGTGTCAGCAGTGCTTTGAAGAAGGTCTATCTCGAGTAGCCCTGACAATTTGAATGCTTGGGTTGTATTTCATCGCTTCATCTCTAACAATTTCATATGCTTTTACCACAGCATACAGGGCGGCCCCTTCCTTTGACTTGCACGCCTATTAAATTTGGATCTTGGATGGGTGGTGATAGAGATGGAAACCCTAATGTAACAGCAAAGGTATTCTTACCAACTCGAATAATGCATAACTTAATTGGTATGGAAGTTTTACAAGCAAGCCCTGCATTATGATGGCCCAACTATAATGTCATCTTAATTCAACACTCAAAACTCTGAGCTTTCTGGGAAAGTGACAGATGACCGAGATAAAAATTGCGTTTTGACACCCTTTACTTATGGTCTGCAGAATGTTGTTGTACTTAAGATACAAATGTATAGGTAGAATTGTGAATGTATATATGTATATGCATACATCTTTCAATTATATGAAAAATTCAATGGTTCTGTCTGTTTGTCAAATTTGTCTGTGAAATTCGTTTTTCACATTTTCAAGTGGTGAAAAACTCGCTTGGTTATTATAGTGATTGGACCTCCACTTCACTCTCTTTTTTTCTCTCAGCCACGCTTCCATTTTTGACGCTTCCCACTTTCTTCATTCCTCTCTTTCTCTCTCTATTAGTTTTGACGCACATGTATGTGTGTGCTCCTATACTAGTATTTTCTTAAATGCTTAGAAGAGTCTGGAGCAACAAAAGCACATACCCAACCAAATATTTCTTCGTTTGGATTTGTGAACTGTGAACAGTGAAATTGCTCTAGCGTTTCAAGTTAATTTGTTAACCTTTACTTGCCTCGTCCTTCAACCGCTTAAAAGATCCAGATGAGAAAAAAAGAACCTACGAGTTACTCTCCTGCCATTTTCTTGAAGAGATTCATATTATTTTCTGGGTTCCCTGAATAACAAAAATTGCATATTCCAATGTCCTTGGGACTGGACTCCCTTATGGTCTTCTGCTTTGTTCTTATGGGTGGTTGTGCCTTATATTTCGTCTTAGATAATTGTGTGATCTTAATTTTCTTACTTCAGGTGACGAAAGATGTTTCTCTTTTATCAAGGTGGATGGCAATTGATCTCTACATCCGAGAAGTTGACAGCCTGAGATTTGAACTATCCATGAATAGGTGCAGTGACAGGCTATCAAGGCTAGCACATGAAATTCTTGAAAAAGGTCAGAGAACTAAGATTCTCATGATAGGACTGGATATCCTGGCCATTGATGGGATGTCATAATCATGATGCTTTACTATTAGGAAGGCACTGGAACTTAGTAGTTTGGGAATCATATCTCTGATAGTGATGGTGACAATGTTAATGATTACATGATTGCAGCGGTTTTAATATCTGTTTTCAGATTGGAGTGTCATACAAGTTTTGTTTTCAATTGAGTTCGTCAATAGGCTACCAATGAATTTCTCCATTGGGATATAAAGTGATTAATCCCTCTGCTCCTTTTGCTACCTCCATTGCATTTCGTTTTTTCCCTATTAAGCAAGAAAAAGAGACAGGAGGCGTTTGGTCTTTCGAATATAAGATCGTATAGGATGAGATTGGACTGGTTGACAAAAACTCCTTTGTTATATTCGCGTTGTTTTGAGAACGACAAGATAACAATATATTGTGTCCGAGCTGTGTTTAGTGTGAGTCTGGTCAGACTAGACTGGTTTTTTACAATAATTTAGATAGGCTAGAAAAGAGGGCTAGCTTTCTTCGGCGATTATAGAATTATCAAATACTAATCAAGAAATAGAGAATAGCAAAGCAGGGCAGTCGGTTGAGAGAGAGAGAGAGAGAGAGAGAGAGAGAGAGGGGGGGGGGGCATGTTTACAACAAAAAGCAGCGGTGGAGGTGCCGATTGGTTGGCTGTGCCGTCAACACCATTGGTGGACATGGCTGGTGAGATAACTGTATGAAAACTTGGAAATAAATGATGATAAAGTTCAGAAAAGCTGATTTTTTTTTTTTTGCTTTTCCTGGTTTGTTGGATAGGTGTCAGCATTTGAACAAAAATTGTGTTGGTCTGACTATTTTTTCACCATTCACTATTGTTGTTATTTGTTATGAAGTTGAATGGCTATCCAAAAAATTCTCTTCAGAAACATCATCGGAGGATAGGCTTGAGAGTCGAAGTCAATCTTTGACTAGAAGTCAAATAAAGCTTCACAATCAACAACTTCCATCTCTTCCAACTCAACTCCCAGCTGGAGCTGATATGCCATCTTGCACAGGTTAACATTTACTATGTTTCCGCCTAAAGTTTTACGCCTTCATCCACATCTAGGATTTTCTTTTTTCATTTGTTGTTGCTTTCTTCAATTGGGGAAGTATGTGACTCCTACTTGCAAGTTGCTGTGACAGCAGTCCGAAGTTTAAATGCCCTCGTGAAATTGTTTGGGCTGCGAGAATAAACAAAATATTTAAAAGTATTATAAGTGGACAGAATCACAATGGTTCAAGGGAATAGTGACGTGCATTGAAAAGACTATGTATTACAGACAAGTATGGGAAGAAGGGCAACAACTAATTCACAGGCAAACTTTGTTTCGCAACTACTTTTTTTACCGTAATTTAGTGCTTATTTTATCTCCATTATTGGGAGCAAATCACGGTTGTTTTTTGGCTAGACAACAACTTGGCATTATTATTTTTTGTTTAATGTCATGTCTCTTGTAGAATGCAATGATGGTGACTCTCAGTATCCAAGACTGGAACTTCCTGGTAATGATTATATGCCATTAAATCGCCAGGTAAACCAACTTCTATTGCAATTGTGGTGTGGAGCTGCACCCTGTGCAGTCAACCTTTTTTATACACCTGATCCTGTAATATTTCTTCTGTAGGATGGTCAAGGTTCTTCATGTTCAGATCCTCAGTTCCAAGATTCAGGGCGCAGTTCTTCTAAACCATCTGAAAATGGAAATTTAGCTAGCTCCAACAGTTTGCAGCCTCCTGTGACACCACGTGGTTCCTCTTTTGCATCCAGTCAACTTCTTGCCCAAAGAAAACTCTTTGCAGAATCACAGATAGGAAGATCCAGCCTCCACAAGCTTCTAGAGCCAAGTCTGCCTCAGCTTGCTGGAATTGCTCCTTATAGGATTGTTCTTGGCTATGTAAAGGATAAGGTATTTTCTCTCTTGACTGAGTGACCTGGTTTTACGATATGGAGATGCTTAATTCAGATTGAACCAAACAAAAATAGAAAGATTCTCGCCTAGAATTACTAATCATGGGGGTAGGACCAGCCAACTTTTCTTCAGCCGTGTTTGACTTTAGGAGTTCTTTCTTGGAACCCAGTTCTGGAGTTCAAAGGTTGGTACGGAGAGGGAAGAGGACCAGCCACTTCCTTTGTTATTACATTGGCTTAGCTTTCTTAGATCTGCTCGTCATGCATTGATACCGTCTATTTCTCCCAGTTTATCTCTCCCCCGCCCCCCTCCCCACACAAGAAAAAATGCAAAATTTTGGGCCTAGGATAACTAAACGAATGTTGGAAAGAAATTTAAATGCTCTCTTTTTTGCAGCATATCATATACAATATTCAGTGTTAACAATTCTCTAAAGATATGCAGTTTAGGCTTGTAGGTAATCATGATGCACAATTAAAAGCAAATGATTAGGTATGTGCACTGGGTGCAAAGCTGGTAGTCAGGTCAATGATTTGAAACAGTGTCTCACAATTAAAGCCTTAGACAAGATAAGCTGCATTTTCAAATGTTTCAATAGATTGATTTGATGTGGTTTATTATATTTCATTTGTGTCTCTGCCTCCCTTATCTCTTGGACTGACAAGTGCATGTGTGAAACATGTGCTCATTATTACTGGTATGGCAACTGTTCCTGGCATATTATTATTTTCAACCATTCTAATCTGCATTATTATATTTGAAATGTTACATGTGGCTTGGGTTTAATAACATGGACCAATGAGCTACCTCCCCTCTATTGAATGGTTAGGAAGTTGGCATCCGGTTCAATATTCTTTGCAGGACGGTTATCGTATCAATCGAACCAATTAGATTGTGTGGTTTCCCGTTTTAGGTTGGTTTTGGGTTGATATATAAAGTTATTTCATGGCAGTCGTTTTTGTAATGTGTTCACCGAGTTCTTTGACAGTGAAACTTTGAACCACTTTTCCATAGAAGCAGGTCACATTGACCAAATCACATAGATGGCTTGTATTTTTTCTACTTTTCGTTTAGTTGAGTGTAACATGAAGTGCCCAAATTTTCTGAGTTCAGCTTATGAAGACACGTAGAAGACTGGAGCTTCTCCTTGAGGATCTTCCCTGTGAACACGATTCTTGTGATTATTATGAGTCATCAGACCAGCTTCTGGAACCTCTGATTCTTTGCTATGAATCTCTGGTATATAGAATCTCCTCCTAATGAGCCCCAGTTCCTGTTCCCACTCTTTGACAGTGATGAAGCTCTCTTCACGCTGACAATTCTTATTATTTGTAGCAATCAAGTGGATCTGGCGTGCTGGCAGATGGTCGGCTTGCTGACCTGATTCGGAGGGTGGCCACATTTGGGATGGTGCTAATGAAACTTGACTTGCGTCAGGTTTGTAAATATTAGGTGCTAAAATAATCCTTGATGATTGCTACTTCTGCGACTCATTTCAAATTTTCTTCTTTAATGAGTCAGGAATCAGGAAGGCACTCGGAAACACTAGATGCCATAACAAGATATCTTGATATGGGTACATATAGCGAGTGGGATGAAGAGAAGAGACTGGAATTCCTGACAAGAGAGTTAAAAGGGAAAAGGCCGCTAGTTCCACTTTCCATTGAGGTAAGGTCTGGGACGGTACTGTATATGATAACGCCTTAAGTATGCAAGAAATAAATTTATGAAATGAAACATAACTATTGCTAACCCTTTTACCTCAAGAGTATAACTTCTGGCCCTAATTCGGTGCAAGTTGTTCCATATTTACTTGAAAATTAACGTGTTGCGAATGTTTTTATAGTGTGTACCTCGAGAAAGATGGATCTGAATTTTTTCTATTAGGACCTTTTTCATGAAGAATGTTTTGACTGGGCTCTTAAGAAGTCTAATAATTTGTACTGAAGAAAACAAGAACGTGGCAGAGAAACATGCCGTTGCTTATGTGTACATTTGAAAACGTATAACTGCATTAGACCTGTCAAATGGGTGGGTCGGGTCATAAATGGTCCGACCCAAATTGACCCATTAACCCATTTATGAGTAATGCAATTTTTTTAACCCATACCCGACCCGACCCATACCCAACCCATACCCGATCAGACCCATATTGCTAAAACATTTCCATATTTAATTAAATCTAGAAAAATTCATACCCAAACTGAGATGAGAGTGCGAACTGAGTGACCGCAAGGTTGAGTAAGGGCGAGAGAGATGAGTTGAGTTTAAATCAGTTGGAAACTCATTTACGACCCATTTATGACCCATTTAATACTAATATTAGACTTCTACCCATTTATGACCCATTTACTAAATATAACTAACCCATTTATGACCCATTTACTAATATATGGGTTAAGAAATGGGTTTATGACCCATTTTGACAGGTCTAAACTGCATGCATCCATCTGTTCTCATAATCACTTGTCCGTGAGAAGTGCATGAAATATATCTGCTATGTGGGCTTGGATTTAGGGTATTTCAACCCTGGCAATAAGTGAAAAAGGGCATTCTCTCATGATTCTCCGTAATTTGTCCTTAGAACTGGTGATTATATTATTGACTGTGACATATTCAGGTAAAACATAAATCGAGGAGTAAGCAAAAAGATATTTAGAACAACCAAATATATGTGTTGTGGATCTGTTAAAGCTTGTCTGCCTTTCTGAAATACTCTTTCTGTCTGAAAATCAGTCTACATTTTGTTATTATATCTTTCTGACCTATACCTACAAGCATCATTCTATGTTGCGTCATCATGTTTTACAATTTTCCCTTATGGCAATACATATATTCTGACTTGTGAGTTGAGCCTCTTCAGGTTGCCCCTGATGTCAAAGAAGTACTGGACACATTCCGAGTAGCTGCTGAACTGGGAAGTGACTCATTAGGAGCTTATGTGATTTCTATGGCTTCAAATGTACTATTCTTAACAGTCAAATGCTATTTTACTTTACTGCTGTCTACTTGTTTTTACCTTCAAGGTGCTCTTAGCCTTGGATTTTTAGATGCTAACTGTAGTCTACTTATTTTTACCTTCAAGGTGTTGTTACTGTTAGCCTATGATTTTCTGATTCTAACTGTAGTCTGGAATTGGAACATGGTAGGCAAGCGATGTTCTAGCTGTGGAGCTCTTGCAGAAAGATGCTCGCCTTGCAGTCAGTGGAGAGTTAGGGAGACCATGTCCTGGTGGAACGTAAGCTCATATGCTCTCTAATGTTGATACCTTATTGCAGAGATCCTTTCCTATTATGAATTTACTTCATTCTCATAATAAGATGGAATGTCTGATTTGCCATTTGTCTGATCATTTGCTCCATGAATTGCTAGTTTAGATACAGGTATCGTCTGCATCTCGAATGTATGCATAAGTGATATTATTTCAGATTATGATATTATAGGCCTTTTGTCATGGGAGTTCATGTTTTGTACATTACATGGTTGTTTGAATGTCAAGTGGTGCCATCATTTTTGAATGGTTGCTTCCAACATGAAGTCAAGCACTTGACTTTCTGGTACTTTCTTAACGTTAGAGTAACTAAATATTAAACCACGCCTTCATCTAATAGCTTAAGCTTTTAGAACAGTTGGCAGTGGTCTCACAAAATCTCACATGGTATCAAAGGTGGAGGTCCGAATTCAAATCTTTCTAGGCTCCATTTGCCACTCCAATTAAATATGTCCACGCTTAGTACTAGACAAAAAGACTAAACTAAGCGTGATGGGGAGTGTTAGAGTAATTAAATATTAAACCACACCTTCACCTAATTGCTTCAGCTTTTAGAACAGTTGACAGTGGTCCCACAAAATCTCACACTTAATAATTCTTGGAAAAGAGGTATTTTATGACACTCTTGTGTCGAATTTTCACCAGTGGATTGATGCATTTACCTCCAGCTAATATAAATACAACAACATACTTTAAAGTCTGAGTTAATTCTTCTTTTGCCCTGTCGGTACTTTCTTTTGAGCAATATTACTAGAAAGAACAAATCCAGGTGATTTTGACTGGTCCAAAACATGGATTATTTTTCAATTAACCAGACACCATTACAGAAGCCAACAAAAAACCACCTTTGCTCACGGTTAAGGATCCATTTTAGGAACAAATATCCCTGTGGTGTAGGAACATACAATATGATACTACGCGACACTTTATACCCGCGTAAGTATTTCTTTCTAGTCCCGTTGTGCTTCAGCTGTGACATTACAACCAAGAAAGTGAGTGGAATTGCTCTCATCATACCTTCTTCTGGAGAACTTAATCTAATTTCTCGGTCATGTGAGCCGATTCGCATTTACTCATGTTCTCCTTGGTTGCTATTCAAAGGAAAATTAACAAGAACCAACTCATAGTCATGGCTTCTAGGTGTGTGAAATTTCTCATTATGGAACAAGTTCTAATGCTGGAAGCACTTTTTTCAGCAAAGGGAGGCATGCATTTTTAATTTTTTCACTTTTTGTAAGAACTTGGACGACATAAAATTTCGAAGTCAATTCAGCTTATGAGGCTGTTCAACCTGGTTTGATGGAAGGCTTGCTTCTTGTCCTTCGTTCTCTCTTGCCTGGCTCTTCTCATATTACCTTATACTCTAAATAGGTTGCGGGTCGTTCCTCTGTTTGAAACTGTGAAGGACCTTAGAGAAGCTGGGTCAGTGATCAGGAAACTGTTATCAATTGACTGGTACAGGGAACACATTTTAAGAAATCATGGTGGCCACCAGGAGGTACATATTTTAGAATATATATTCAAGAACTAGTTAGATAACTTTCAGAAATATTAAGAATCTTTTAATTGATATCACAGGTAATGGTTGGATATTCTGACTCTGGTAAAGATGCTGGGCGCTTCACAGCTGCATGGGAACTCTACAAAGCACAAGAGGACGTTGTAGCTGCATGCAATGAATATGGCATTAAGGTTACCTTATTCCATGGACGTGGAGGGAGCATTGGTCGGGGTGGTGGCCCCACATATCTAGCTATTCAATCCCAGCCACCAGGTTCTGTCATGGTTAGTCATCCTATTCACATCTAGCATGACATTAGTCAAGAATGAATAAATATAACATAAGGATCAAAATTGCATCCGCTCGATTCAAACCAAACAATCGTAAAATCTTTTGCAAGACATTAGTCAAGAATGAATAAATATAACATAAGGATAAAAGTAAGTCTTGTTATGTGCCTGTATACCACTGTTTATTGACAAAATAAAAACTCCCTTTTCTATTTGAGGTAGATCTTTCTGCCAGACCTATTTGGGTGTAGTTGACCTGAAATGAAGCATTTTGTGAAATGGTGCTTGAATTCTGTATTGGATCCCATCTATGGTTGCCTATTTGATACACGGACATAACATGAGTGTTGTGAGGGAGAAGCTTTGTCTGTCTTGAGTCATAGTTGGACCTTAATCTGGCTGAGAGTCTGTTTGATTAAGCCAACGCATACAAGACAATTTTCAGCCAGATTGATTGAATGGTGATTTGAGCTCAACATAGCACAAGCTAAAACCATGCGAATCGGCCTATTCACTCTCTGGAACAGCTTGTTTTGAAGGTTCTGTACAATTCTGTTTGACATGAGATATATCATATGTCTTGTGTTAATACTTATAAATACAATTCATAAGCACTGTTTGTCTTCTCGGTCCAGAACTGCACTTGTACTAATGTAAACTTGGAAATGAGAAGTCTTACTGCACTTCTAGTTGGTTATTGTGCTTTTTTTTATACATTTTGTGCAGTTATACACCACTTAATTAAATTGTTAGAATAATTAAATATTAAACCACGCCTTCATCTAATAGCTTAAGTTTTAGAACAGTTGGTAGTGGTCCTACAAAATCTCACATGGTATTAGAGCCCAAGTTACCAACAAGTCTGGACCCAATAGTCACGTGGGAGATATGGGTTGTTGCCGCTCCGACTCAGGCTCGATATGTAAGGGGAAGATTTATCCACATCGGTTGTGGAAGGGGCGGGTGGTAAGTTATATGTGTGAGGGAAAGCGTCACTCTTTGAGCTAGCTTTTTGGGTGAGAGAGGCCCAAGACCACCCAACATTGATATTAAAGCTGGAGGTCCTGAGTTCAAATTTTTACAGACGCCATTTGTCTCCTCAATTAAATATTTACATGCTTAGTATTAGGCAAAAAGACTAGACTAAGCGTGAGGGGGAGTGTTCGAATAATTAAATATTAAATCACGCATTCATCTAACAGCTTAAGCTTTTAAAACAGTTGACAGCGGTTCCACAAAATCTAACATAAATAATATGATAGTTTTGAAGTTCTGTTAGTTTGTGCATTGATATAAAGTAAAGCTAGTTCTGTATCGAGTAGTCAAGAAGCATTCAGAACCATTTCTTAGGTACAACGATGGTGCTTGACAGGGTACACTTCGCTCAACTGAGCAAGGAGAGATGGTGCAGGCCAAATTTGGGTTGCCACAGACAGCGGTAAGGCAGCTGGAGATTTACACTACAGCTGTTCTCCTTGCTACTCTACGGCCCCCACTCTCTCCTAGAGAAGAAAAATGGCGTAACCTCATGGAGGAAATCTCGAAGATCAGTTGCCAGAGTTATCGCAATACCGTATATGAAAATCCCGAATTCCTTGCCTACTTTCATGAAGCTACACCACAGGCTGAACTCGGCTTCCTCAACATCGGAAGCCGTCCCACTCGGAGGAAGAGCTCAACGGGAATTGGACATCTACGTGCCATTCCGTGGGTGTTTGCATGGACTCAAACTAGATTTGTTCTTCCAGCCTGGCTAGGTGTTGGAGCAGGTCTAAGGGGTGTTTGTGAGAAGGGACATACTGCAGAGTTACAAGAAATGTATAAAGAGTGGCCTTTCTTCCAGTCCACTGTTGACCTTATTGAGATGGTGTTAGGGAAGGCAGACATACCCATTGCCAAGCATTATGATGAAGTGCTTGTATCAGAGAGCCGGCGGGAGCTTGGGGCTGAACTAAGGAGGGAGCTCTTAACGACAGAGAAGTATGTCTTGGTCATCAGCGGGCACGAGAAACTATCTGAGAACAACCGGAGCTTAAGGAGGCTGATCGAGAGCAGGCTACCTTATTTAAATCCCATGAACATGTTGCAGGTGGAGATACTAAAGAGGTTAAGGCGTGACGATGACAACAATAAGCTCAGAGATGCATTACAAATCACCATCAATGGAATCGCTGCTGGCATGAGGAACACCGGCTAGAAAGTGTCCTGTCGGTGGTTCTACCGAATGAGCCTGCCTACTAACGGACACTTTTTTAATCCCTAAGCCCGTCTTTTTGGAACATCATCTCTTTACTGGTTATAAGTGGTGTAATCAGAGATACACGGCGAGGACAATATGTTCGGTCGAACCATGTTACTAAGTTTATAGTAGAAAATGTTACGCTTGAATTGTGGCCATGTTTCATAAAGTATAGCCGAGAATGCTTTCTCATGCTTTGTCAGGCCAATTGTACAGCCCACTAGATTTCACTGACGAGGCAAGCACATACCTAACTGGTTGTAGCTTCTGGCTGAGCTACGAGACGCAAATGCATTTCCTGCATGCGAAACCCTATTTCCTGCGTTTTCTTTGATCCTCATTTCTAAATCTGCCCAAACGGTGGGGGCATTTGGGTGATAAACGAACTTTAGAAGACGAATTACTTGATTTCTCTCCACTTCCTCCCTCAAGATTCTAAAATATCGTCCTTTTTTCTCACTTTTATATTGGAAAAGATTTGTTTGTCACCGTTGACACCAAAAAGTGATCTGGTCATCTCGACATGTGCCTAGCACGTGAATAAAGAAAACTTGTGAATGTCGCGTGAGCAAGGATAAAGATAATCACGTGTATAGTATATGAGCGCTATCTTGCACATATTGATCTATTGATGGGCACCGGAGTCAACATGTGGCGATCGATGACAGTATTCTTTCATGCCACGTGTCTAGTTGACGAAGTACATTGACGGACGGTTGATAACCGCCAACATGGGCGCCTGTGGTGAGTTCTTTCACCATTCAAAGCTTGAAACTGTCAAGACTGCTAGCATTAAGGATGTATGCTGTGGAGAGAACAGTTATCATTCAAAAACCCAGTCATGGAACAATCATCGATGACTACAAAACTGTCCCCGTGTGAAGAAGATAGTGTGAAGAAGATAGTTATTCAAGAACGTGAATGAGTAAACTTTGAGGAAATAAAGGAGCAGATGAGGTTGATGGAAGTTACTTAAAGAAGTAAAACTGCTGAGCATCGTCTAGGAGCGGTTGCTACGCGGAAACAAAGGAGTATGGATGAGGTTGACGGAGGTTATTTGAAGAAGCATAACTGCTGAGTATCATTGAGGAGCGGTTGCCACACCTTCACTATAAATACCACCACCTATGCAACAAAGAGCCCCTCGCACAAATCAAACAAAATGTTATCTTTAAAGTATTTTTAAACTTTTTTGCACAGTACTTTTAATTCATTAGTTGTAGCTTTCAGATTTGCGTCGTTGATTAAATTTTGGCATGATATTCCGGTGTGGTCAGGCCTTGTCATCAATTAAATTCCGGCATAATCTATTTACATTTATACTCACTGTACTTTCTGGGCTTTGTCATCGATTAAATTCCGGCACAATAATCCAAGTTCGTATCGTTTCTATCTGAGTGAAGTTGTTGATTCCATAATTTGCCTGGATACCTCTTGTCCGGAGTTGCCACAAAACCCAGTCTCCTGTTATTAAAAGCCGAAGAACTACTTTCGGCGAAAGATATTTCGTCACGGGAACAAAAATTCCGATGAAACAATCACTCAAATAAAGATCGGTAAATTCATCTAAGAGGTGGAAAATTCAAGACTTTGACAAATGTAAATTATTTCAAGATAAGAAAATTCGATAATTCATGAACTGTTAAAAAGAGTTAGTAGCGTCATGAAAATGTCGGTAAGTGGCCAACAAGTTACCGAGAAATCAAATGACCGGTAACTTTACTTATCGATCATTTTTTACACTAACTCTTTTCGGAATCTGCAAGCATAGAAAAAGAAATTCGTTTTCTTAGAACGAAAAAGCAGAATTGTTCGCGTGCCTTCAAAATGAAACGTCAATAATATAAGATTCCACGTACGTGGGAATGGGAAAATATAGACCAATAGGGTCGAGATACATCATCTCCGCATCTAGCAAGCTGAGGGAACATGTCCAGATAGGGATTGGGATGTGATAGGCGAGTTGTTTGGCTGAAGAAAGAATCTGATACTACTTTCGCATGGTGAGCTAAGGGCGGTAGCATGTGCCATTGCCGTTCTTTCAAAAGATTGTGAGGATGGCTGTGCTGCGGTCATCCATTATTGTCTGCTAGACCCCCCTTGTCCACAGTTTCTTCTTTCAGTGAATAAAACAGTAGGACGGATTGACCCGCGTTGATCACACTTGGAGTCCCAAATCCGTTAACTCGGTTTGAATTATAGTTACTCAGCACCGCGAGGAAGCTAATGTTCCACGTTGGTATACAGTGCCGATGCAATCACACTGGTGAGTTGGCAGTCGGTAACTTCATATGACGTAGGCACAAACCGGCCAGAGGTTGGCTCACGGGGTCGCTCAAACTTTTGACCTTAGAAGAGTGCCTTAATTTGTTCATGTCATGGCATCGTTATCCTCAACTCTATCTATGTCGTAAAGAGAATTTCATGGTAGTTCTCAAGTCAAGCGTACTTACCTTGGAGACTCTGAGGTATCGAGAGCAAGTTCGTTACATGAAATGCTGCGTTGGAGACTCCGGAATCGATAGCGATTGCATCGTTACTGGAATTTAAAAAGCTCATAAGTTTCTCTTATCCACATCTAGATCGTGTTACGATGCGTATATAGTTTGGAAAACAACTGTAAGAGAAGGGAAAATGTAAGGCATAAGCAAAGGTTATACGGTACAGCTTTCCTTGTAATGATCTCACGTAGAACCTGCTGCCATGTGAGGAAGGAAATACCTTAGTAGAGCATTTAACAATCGGCGAAATCGAGCTTTCACGACGACAATAGGAAGAAGATGGAAAGAGGCAAAGGAAAGGAAGTACTTAGAATACGTGAAGGAATATGCTTGTGCTGAGGGAAATTGGTAATGGGGATGAAAAGGTGGAACTCAAGTGGGAAGAAAGTGCAGAGAAACATGAATGGTGAAATCCCCCATCAAGGGCTCTAACTGAAGCGTTAACTTGGCAAATGCAATCTTAACTATGATCTGCGTTATAGTAACGCAGTTCCTACGTTTTTGCCTACTAAAAGAATAGGCCCATTTCTAAAGTTCCATTTGTCAAGCACGGAATTCTGTTCCATAATTGATACATACGTATCATCGGTAGCAAATTTGAAATATCGATGGTAAGTATAAAGTGACTGGTAATCCGGTCAGCTGTTTGTAGGTTACCAATGAAATAATAATTTTACCATCCACAAAACAATAGTAGATGGACACTTGTATTTTTTATTTTTATTTTACAAGTGGGGGTGTAACTATTTGTAAGTTACCTATGGAATAAAATTTTTAGCATCAACAATCCCCATAATAGATCACCACTTGGCCGCTATCACTTTCTTTTGAGCAGTAAATGTATAAGAAGGTTGGTAAGTTACCCGAACATTGGATGGTCATTGTTGTCAACATTATTGATAAATTATGTCAATATACCTAACTAGGATGATGTAGATTGCACGGTTTTTACCATCGCTATTTAGAATTTACGAAAGGTGTGACAAATTTCCTACTGAATTGTTCCATTTGGGCCAAACAGAATTTTAGACACGTCTAAAGAATGAAATCCCATTTTAAAAGGCTATGAAACAGTAGAGTCCCAAAGGCGATCATGCAACTATTTTTCACACCATCAGTTAATCTAGTAAAAGTTACTATAAGGTCCAATGATGGTTCGAAAAACAAATTACGTGATCATCTTTGGATGGGTAACACGTGTACTTAAATCTATACCACACATCACATGCTCTAATCCCGAACTTAAGTGGTTTCTCGAAGAGCAAATTAACAAGTCATGTATCAGGTCAAGATTAGATTTGAGTTTGAGCCGTGTCATTGGAAGGCGCAATGTATGCACTGCTAAACATATATTTCAACTTTGCAGGTATATGTCTATCAAATGATTCCCAAGCGAAATATCGCTTCCTTTTTCACCGTTTTGAGAGATAGATGCCTGAAAATTGACAGGCCAAAAAGGAGTTGTGCCTTAAAAATGCTGCACCACAACGAGCATATTTTCTCACTCATGGTGTAGGGAAAAATATGCTTAAGCAAAGCATCTGATACAATCTTCTCTCTGAAAGAACTCTCCAGTCTCCATTGTTATTCTCCAGCTCAGTTGCACTTGATTCTGTTATTCCATGCCATTGTTGATGCAATCGATCAACTATAAATAAAGGGTTACTGGAAGAGCTACCCTTGAGGCCAGCAAGATATCATCTCTTTCGCTCACAAGAGAAAGAAGCCCTAGAAGAAGATATGGCATCCCTCAAGGCTGAGAAACCTGCTGGCTCTCAATTGCCTGGCCAGGCCAAGCAAGAGCCTCCCAAACAAAGCGGCAGCGCCCCGAAAGCCCCGGCGACGAAACCTGCCCCCAAGAAGGCCGAGCCGAAGCCGGCTCAGCCTAGGAAGAAGGTATAACGTGACACCCTTTTTTTTCTCATTCAAATTTAAATGGAATATAGATTCAAAGTATGGATATTTTGTTAAAATTTGCAAACTGAAAGATTAAATGTCGTTTATCGTAACTTTCTTAAACAAGTGTTGTCAGGCAACCGGTGGCAAGAAATAGAAGATCGCGTCGCGGTTTTTGTCGTGCCGGAGACTCTGTCGTGAAGCTTACACTCATGGAAGGGCCTCTCTAATAAGTGTGTGTCTTTGATGAATACGGTGTTGTACTTTAGCTTTTGAATTTCGACCATGTCCTCCCTCCGTTTCAGCTCGCCGTGATGAATAAAAGATAAGTATTGAAAGAAACAGATCTTGTCATATTCTTTTTTTTTTGGTTGCTACGAACTTTGAACGAAATCGAGAGTGCTCGGTGATCAAACTTGGGTAGGCTGATCACAGCTAGAGCGACTTCCCTACTTTCGTTCTCGGGTCTTACACTGGCCAATATTAATTGTCCAAAAAGTCTTTAAGCTATTGTACGGCGGCTATTTCAGTCATAAACCTTTCGATTGTGCCAATTTAGTTATGAACTTTTTGATGATTTGCCAACGTAGTCCTACCGACCAATCTTGGCCGGAAATCGATGACGTGGACACCAGTAATCTCACATGGCATGGTCGGCGTTGAACGTGGCATGATCGACATTGACGTGGATAATTTTTGTAATTTTTTGTAATTTTCTGAAATTTTCATTAATTTTTTTCTTTTCTTTTCTTGTGGGGCTAAGGCCTGGTGGCCCTCTCTGGCCACTAGGTGAGGGCTCCACTGGCCCTTAATAGGAAAAGAAAGAAAAGAAAAATAAAATACAAAATCATTTGTAAAAATTATTCACGTCAACGCATATCATGACACGTAAGACGGTCGACGTCCGACTCATCGATTTCTGATCAAAATTGGCCGGAATGACTATATTGACAAATCATCAAAAGGTTTGGGATTGAATTGGTCGCCGAACAATAGATTTAGGACTTTTTAAACAATTTAGTCTTCACCTCTCCTCTATGTCTGGCCTCTTGTACTAGTGGATAAGTCTCACGTATCTCAAACTAGCACGATGCTTTTTAAAGTCGTGATGGCACATGGCGATCCGCGACCTGAGCGGAAAATATCCTACTGGCGATGGCCCGCATAGAGCTGCCTTCACAAAACAATATGGGATTCATATTTTGCATACGACACCCACTCGGGTGAAAGTTAGACGAGTGAATTTCGTGCATATACATATCAATAGAACATCTCACCATTGATCTTAAATATATACAGTACGATTTATGTGGAACAATCCCAAATTGAACAATTATATGAACTTGTTAACCACGCGGAAGATATCTAAAAACGTAATATATGATACAATATGCAAATTCTACGGCAGATTATCAATTCGAGAAAAGAAATTAGGCTTCTTGATGATCAACAATGATCAACAACACCCCTAATAAAAACATTTTATAAGAAAATTGATAACGTGAATACCATGTTTGAAAAAATCTACTGATCCTACACATGATCAGTAGAGAATGTAACTGTTTTATGCTTGTAGTGTACTTATCACGTCAATCTTGCTCTTCTAACTTTGATTTGTGCAGCCAAAATGGACTTTTATGATGATAATAACGAAATGGATGTACATTAATCTAGAGCCAATAGGCAATTGGCTTCGTTCTAGTTAATAATCATAGCCTATTAGTACTTTTACAATTAATTAAGATAAAAAAAAATTTGTTTTCTTAAATCTAAGTTAAAATGCCTTACCAATAAAATGTCGCTTTAGATGGTATTGGAGTTTGCTCGTCTTCTTATGCTTTTGGGTTTGCTAGATGGACTAGTTGCAATGCTCGAAAGTTAGCACGGACAATACTAGACTGCTTATTAAAATAAAATAAGAGCTGGAATGCCTTAATTTGCATATATCTGTAGACTATGATAATCCATAGGTAGTCAGAAACCCAGTTTATAAGGAGATTCAAATTTTAGATTTTCCGAAATAAATAGCTCTAGGCTGTATCTTTATTATGATTTGATGCAAAAATATCCAAAACTCAACAGTTTGGTGGTTTGAAGCTACTACAAAAAGTAGACACCATATGTAACCAGGAAAGACAGAATAACTTCAAACGCTATTTCTATCGGAATCATTTATTTGTCACATTGCCTGCTTCAGCCTTGTTCCTCCAATGTGCTGTAAGCTGCAAAATCTGGTGATTGTAAAGAACCATAAACGTAATTTAGCTCCCTTAGGATGTCGTTCGTTTCGCGAAAAAATGAGTGATTTAGAAAATATTTTCCAAAACATAATCGCTTGTATCGCTTACAAAAATAAATGAATGAAAAATTATTTTATCGTCCACAAAAATAGTTGGCCATAGATTATTATCGATGATGAAAATATTTTCGTTGACTAATTTTTCTAAAGGATATAAGCAATTATTTTTCGGAAATTTTTTTCCAAATCACCCATTTTCCGCAAAACGAACGCAACCTTAATATGAAAAGCAGAGGAAAAAAAAATGCAAACTTCATCGACAAAAAGATAATAAAGAGCATCATAAAGTCACATGCAATTTCATTACAAATACTTTGTATCTGTGGTGTACAAGTGCATTTTACATCAAAAGCAGTTGCAGGAAGTATGCCGTTCAAGGGATCTTCCTTGGAGATCTGAAGAAAGAGACCAAAATTTAAATAGCTAAACAATGACAGTAAAAAGTAGATGGAGAGGAAGAGAAATACTGTAGCAAAAACACTAAAGTGAGACTTAGAATGGGGTATTATTCACAGTAACCTAAGCTCTAAATATAATTACCCCAATAGGTGGGTTGTCTTTGAGCTACCTAATGGCAACATTACAGTTCAAAATGGACTGACAGCGCGTGCTAACTTCAACATACACTCAGGTACCATCCGACGTCTAGGAGGAGCTACCGCATCCTTGGTGAGAGCCTCTGTATCACCAGCATGTATGTAGCCCACCAAATCTTCCAACATATCATCTTTGCCACCCCTCATAGGATCCTGGAAAGTCATTTAGGATAAGCTTAAACCCAAATTAAGTAAATGGAGACTCATCGTATATGCCAAAATAAACTAATGAAATTATCAGTATTTTTTGAAGTTATAACAAATCAGGCAGTTATTGAACATCTCCCTAAATCAAGTCAATTATTGGGTAGGAAATTCAATAAGACAGTCCAACGAAGGATCATAAATGGCGAACTGATTTCAGGAGAATGAAGCATTTAAAGTAAGTGGAAAAACTCCATTTACTTGAATCAGTGACAAAAAGGATTGACTGTGCAGAAATAACTTGGGATATATATGAATCGGATCAGAGGACCATCGCCATGCTTAATGCACGAAACTTGAAAGATCCATTGGATGAAATGAGTAAGAGAAGGAATTTACTAATTCTGTCCTCCTACCATAGACACAACCCAAGTGGAAAAGAAGTAAAGAAGACATCAAAATGTCCTTAGCATCTCCTAACCTGGAGAAATAAATCAGTGTGGGTTTTCCCTTTGTATAATATTGATTCCGCTTTCACTCCAGCTCTGTGAAGAGTCTCCGCAAAATTTTTACTGTGAAAAAAATAAGTCAGAGGAAGCTATGTGGAAACAATACTGACATACAAACATCATCCTGCTCGGAATGGCAGCCTCGAGAATAAATACTTACTCATCTTTGACACAATCAAGCAACAATTACATAGTATATCCACATGGGATATCATTGCTGATGAAGCATCATTGTCAGTCAAGAGACATGCACAATTTGCAACAAGTCTGCAACAACTTGCATGGTTTACCAACCAGAATTGTGGTGAACAGATCATTGTCTAATAATATACTTATCTTGGTTACAGTTAAATGTCATGATTATTAGCGCTTCACGATTTCAACAAGTAGCGTTTGTCACAACATTGCAGGCTCTTTACAGCACCTACTAGGCCATCCAATTCAGTTTATGCAAGTAGCATTGATGATTCAATCTAAGGATTTATCCTTCATTAGACAATACATCCTGTAAGAAACACAAACCTGGCATCTGATGGAATAGAATAATCTGCAGTGCCGTGAAACAAAGTAACAGGAGGCAAACGAGAGACAGCAATTCTTATGTTCGGGTCCTGGGCCACTAAATCCGGAGAAAATCGTTGCAATGATTGTTCACCCTCCATAATGCTTTGAAAACAAGGAAAACGAAACACCTCAGATCCTTCAATTTGATGGAATCAACTGCTGTATTGAGTTCTTAGAAAAACAAAGATATGCACTGGGTAATGGAGGGTACCCCAGGAAGATCGAGCGGTACAGACCTCGACTGTGAAAGTAATCAACGAGTTCTAACAAATTGTACCTGTTCACAGAAATGTATGTAAGATGACTACAGGTGATTATAGTTGCACCTAAAAATTGCCCAACAATCAGAATGCTACCAGTAGGACTCTCAAAACAAAGCCGCAATGGATCAGAATATTCATGAACCCTAACTTGTAGAGGTTGAAATTTCAAAACAAATCAGATCACTGAATTTCCATATGAAATTGATCCTGGATATTAGCTTTGCTGTTAGATGATACGATTTGAGCAATGAGATAATCATGCGATTGAATTGAAATAGAATTAGAAACCATAAGATCTGAACCACAGGTACACAAGAATGGGGAGCATAAACCAATCACGCTGTTGGCTCACTACTGACGAAACCGTTAGTTTCAATACCGAAACTGAATGATTAAGGAAAACTTAATCTAAATTTTGATTCTTGTCACTGTCATATATGCATGAACTACCAAGCTGAATTTGATGTGGGAAGTTCAAGACTAGCTCTTCAAAGATCATTCTTTGAGGACAACATTCTGTGACATGGCCAAAATAATATATCAAGTGCAACAGGAGATTTAATTTAAAGAGAATCCAAAAGGGAAAACCTCCTTTAAATCGACTCCCAGTTAACAAATTGTCATTTGGTTTCTATAACTTGTGAAACAGAGGCCAGGCATTCCCAAATCACGGTTAACTAGTTGTAGTCTGTAATACGTTGAGACTTCACATCTGCGAGAAAATAAATACTACATGACAAATTAAGAAATAAAGTATATACCAGAAAATGGGTCTGTCAGTCATACTGTTAATTAACTTAATCTGCTAATGCAGGTAGGATTCCGCAGAATACCGGTAAAAAGTCTCTCATGAGATGGTCCAAGATCAGTCAGACACATTTTCACTACCCGACGACGACCATATAATTCTCAAATGGCAGTTATGAAAATAGAGTTCACCGGAAGATGTCAAGAGATATTTACCCTCCGGATAAACCAAAGTACGCTTTAATCTGAGACACACTCCAAGAAGTGCTCTCTCCTTCACCACACTCTTTAATTGTTTGCTCCAAGAGTGCGCAAGCAGCGATATGTGCCCCAGCTGACTGTCCCATCAAATAAACTCTACCAAAAGAAAGCATGCGCTGTCATCATGACTACAAAAGTTCGATGCCATGTCCAATCAGATACTGGCAAAAGAACATGAACTGACAGTGATTTAACTCTCTTAGGACTTCAAGAGATCTTTTACCTGTTTGGATCGCCTCCATACTCAGCTATATGGTTGCACACGAAAGAAATACCCTGGGAAGCATCCTTAACCATATCGCCAATGGTAACTTGGGGAAAGTTTCTGCAAGCAGGCGCCATTGAACAACTTGAGGATTTCGCTATTCAACATTTTGCTGATCAATGAATTTTTTGCAAAAAAAACTGTTGCAAAATATAATATTTATTACTATTTTCAACAATGCCATCCTCCTCCAGCAGTTCTAGCAAACCTTTGCCTATCGATGTACATCCGGTGCTTTTATAAAGGTAAGCATGGAATGAGAACTGTAAAAAGTAATCAGATTTTGCAACTTCTCTTTGCCAAGAAAGTGTTCATAAACTAACCATACTAGCTCCTTGTCCTAAGTTTTGACTCACTAAAATCATGTAAACTCAACCAGTTTCTGCAGAAATTGCATTCAATGTAAACCTGTAATCAATGCAGGCCACCATGATGTCTCTTTCTGACAATTGTTGTCCTAAAAGAGATCCCCATGCTTTGTAGCTGCATGAAGAGAAAATTGCAGTAGAATGTTATATCTAAACCACAGCAAATGAGACAGAAAACTTGTTTTCCTTCTTCATCCATGAATTCTGTCAAGGGACCAAAAATATTATCGTAAAAGATCTTTGTCAAGGGACCAACAATATTATCCTAAAAGATCTTTCATGCAAAAATATTAGCAAACATTGCAGTTCTGCCATCACAACTTTGTCAAGGATATCCATTCTCAACCAAAGAATTCACTCTCGCATTTTACTCAACTGACACATTGAGGAACACTCACCCAATTATCCAGGCTCCACCAGTTATAAATGCAACCACTGGCTTTGGCCCATCCATGTTTTTCGGTAGATATAAATCAAGCCTGCACTAAAAAATAACTTCCAGTAATTAATAGATGATCAGCGGAAGCACAAAGGGTACACCTATTTGGTGCATCTGACATAACAGTCAAGTTTGATGTTACCTATTTCGGGGTAGATCACCATAAACTATTCCTCTGCGTACCTGACTAGAGAAGAAATAGTAATACCCAACTGCAAAAAGATAGAACATTGGTCATATGCTTACCACATGTTAACACTAGTAGTATAAGCTGTAAGTAGGCAATTAATATTGGAATGGCTCAGCAAGATAGACATAGAAAAGTACAGACCTTGGACAAAACCAGGCATTAGTAACAAGGAATAACAGCCAAGAGCAAGAAATCTTGTAATCCATCTGTAGCCTACCCTGAATAAGAATTAAATGATCGGGCAACATCAAGAAGTTGAGATGGAAATGCATAAGAACCTTGTACTTCACGTTTAAAAGGAAATGAAATTCCTAGATGATTTCAGTTTTTAGATGAAAAAACAAAGAAATAGAATGCATTGCGCCTCTTCTATGCAACAAATAATGAACTTCACTTCCCACTACTCGTTTCATTTTTTTCGCCAAAGCTTTTCCAGGTGCATCATGTAGCATCCAATCTCCATTTCCTCCTCACACAGTCCTAGCAATTTAATTACATGACCATCTGGCCGATCATTCACACGGCAATTTTTCTGATTGTCTCATGGCCAAGTGCCTATGCTACAAAGGCGCCACATGCTGAGGTTCTGAACATACCGATATTTCCATATAGTGTTTCCTAATGCTGAAGAATCAACTTCTACTCACTTAACAGTGGTCAGAAATAATGTAGAAGGACAGTGAACCACAACTTTTACATCAAATCTGCATTCACTAGCAAAGAGCTAACTCAAAATCCAACTTAATCCTACTTAGCAACCATGATCATGACACCATTCTCGAAAGGCTGCTTGTGGTTTACAGCACAAGGAAAAACAGCTAATCTTTAATGTGACTTTCTAGTTCGACTCCTGCCCCGTTGGTAGGCAGTAATGTCAATTGATTCTTCTTTCATAACAATTATGACCAATATCCCACATTTGAAGTTCAATTACCTTAGGGCACTTTACTGCACCCCAACTCAAGGACTCGATGACTTTCTCATTGGAAAAGGAAAATCATCAGTAATTTCCACTGCCAATCTGGACTACATGCATTTTCTGAATACGCGATTTTCGTCATGACCTCTTGAATGAGGCTCAGCGAGAATTTTGCCCCCCCAGGAAAAAAATCAATCAGGTATGCGGATCAAAGCATGAACCATGGCACTTGTTTCGTCGCGATCATGAGAAAATTAGAAACTTACTGTGCTACAAAAGGAAAGTTGCAATAAATATCAGGGAAAAAATTTGAACTCAACGAGGAAATTACTACCCATGAAATATCGCAGTCAAGTAACCATGCCATGGGGCTTAATAAGCTGATAACATTACAAATTCAGCATCTGTTGTGCAGGGTACGACCATCGATTGAAAAAGGAAAAAAAAAAGAAGAAATTGCGATCACCAAATGAATAAACGGCCACATTACCCGAGATATCTCAAGAGCTTCAAGCTGAGGCGCGTCAGCACGAACGTCTCGGAAGCTGCATCCGCGACCTCGCGCCCCAGCGGCTGGTGCCGGCCGTTGTCGGACATCGACGAGAGGGAGTTCTCGCTGGCGGACCGCCGCCGCCGCTGCTGTTGGAACCCGGATGGGGGGGCGGCGGCGGCGGCCGGGGGCACGGTGGGGGCGTAGCTGGAGGCCCTGGAGAGGAGGGGCCTGACGGAGGCGGCCTTCTCGTCATCGAAGGGGGAGGAGATGAGGAGGAGGTTCGCCATCGGGTCGTCACCGGGGCCGGCGCCGCCGTCCTTGGAGGGCGGCGGGGAGGCGAGGGAGGAGGCGGGATCGAAGGAAGGGGGGGCAGCATGGCGTGAGGATGGGTTGGTGATGGGCAGGAGCGGGGACGGCATTGCGATGGGAGGTGAGCTGGGGATTCGCTGTCAGACGTGTGGGGATCCGTTTCTTGGGGTTGGCTTCGGTTGAGCCACCCAGAGAATGTTCGAAGGCGAAGCGCTGGCGGAGGGATCGATCGGAGATGACGAAGTATCTCGTCAATGTTCCAGCAGAAGCAGAGGAAACAGAGGAGAGACAGAGAGGGAGACAGGGGGAGAGACAGAGAGACGATTGGCAGAGAGAGACAGAGAGAAACCAACGGGGGAATCGGAAGTGTTGAAGTCTGATTTGGAGGCTGCCGGTTTTTACTTCCCACTTTCTGGTGAGATTGGTCGTTGTCTCATTTTAAACGCTTCTCTCCTAAGAACAAATGGACATATTCGCTTCAGTTGTTTGTCTCTTAGACACTTTAGATGAGAAAAATATTCATTTTTGTGTTTTTTAAGATAGTAAGACAAGAGATGGCTTAGTGTGTCGGAAACTATAGGGCATTACCGATTAGTTGTTTAACAGGTATTCCCGAGGAATTTGTTAATGAAATCGCATGCTTATAATAGCGTGATCTCAAAATACCAAGCTCCATAGAACACAGAAAGATTGATGTATTGAAATCACAAATTTTCCCTTTAGAATGCTTTATAAGTGTCGATGGGCACTTGTAAAACATTATTGATTATATGAAACGAGAAAAGTAATGCTTAGAAAATAAGTTTTGCCTGTTCAATTTTTGCCTTCGAATGCTTTAACAAGGGTGCATGCGATAGCCATATTAATGTAAACCGGCTTTCAATATTAAGGTATTTTCCATCGCTATATAAAGTTCAACGATCAAATTGTTGGATTTATTGAACTATTGCATCGCTAGCATGATCAGTTCAGCAACTGCTCTCGCTTAGTTATGGATCTCTATGTTCGTATGTACAAAATTTACCGAGTCGATGTGTCCCCATTTAATCTATCTCAACAACCTCTCTAGCTTAGTTGTGTATCTCTATGTTCATATGTACAACAGTTACCATATCGATGTGTCCTTATTTTTATCTATCTATATTTATGATTGTCAGGCCTATTCGCTGCCCTTCTTGAGGTCATACAGGTTTATGAACTGTTGTAAATATTTTACAGAATAGGTTGCACTTAGAGGAGCTACTATGTTTATAAAGGTACTTATACACGCTTCCGCAAAAACATCAGTGAAGGCATCAACGGGAAAATTGTCCAAAAAGCTCTAGATTTATTACAGTTTTGCCAATATAGTCATAAATCTTTTAATTTTGTTAATTAAGTCTTAAATATTTTTATGTTTTATAAATTGAGTCAATTTGACCAATTTTAGTCGAAAATCGCTGACGTGGATGTTAGCCATTTAATGTGACACGGTCGGCACTGACATAGATAATTTTTAATAATATTTTATATTTTAAATTTTTTTGAATTTTTATTTTCTTTCTTCTTCTTTTTTTTTTTTCTTCCAAGCCTTGGCGAGGGTTGCTGGCCAACCCTCGTTGTTACAGGCAAGGTCGGCCGACCCTCGCTAGTCATATGAGAGGGCTGGCCGACCCTCGCCAACCGCAAGCGAGGGCTTCACGGCCACTGGGAGTGGCCGACGGGAGTTGACCGGCCCTTGCTGGACTTGATAAAAAAAGGAAAAGTAAGAAAGAAAAAGAAAAAAGAAACGAAAAGAAAAGAAGAAAAAAAATTCAAAATCATAAAAAATCAATTTCTAAATAAAATTTATAAACAATTTGTCTACGTTAGTGCATGCCGTTCTACGTGGCACTACTGGCATCTATATCAGTGATTTCCAGTTAAAATTGGCCAGATGAACTCAAGCGGCAAAACGTGAAAATGTTTATAACTCAATTGGCAAAATTGAAAGGTTTAGGATTAAATTAATAAAAGTGTAATAGGTTTGAGACTTTTTGAATAATTTTTCCGGGGATCGACTTATCCTCACGAATTGTTATGATGGCCCTCGGGTTCGCGACTTATTTAGGCTTGATAGTCAATGTGATCTTCTCACGTTAGGTAGTAAACAATATTCAAACGGGTACACGTGATAGCTTTACCTTTGAATTACTCTTCAAGCAGGTCACCCTTGTGTAGCCTACCAAATCCTGTTGACTTTCTCACCATGACCATCATTAAATTACTCGGGACTTGCTTGAATTCCGGCTTGCTCGAGTCATTGTTTTTCTATCCTCTTTGCATTGCACGATCCAAAAGGAGTCGCGCTTGCCCTTGATGGTATCGTCCTCAACCTCAGATCCATGTGAAGCAAAGCGAGGAAGCTTTTTGAACTGGCGGCAACGATTTGATGATTTAGATTTGGCGCAACAAGGCAATCTGATCTTCTACTTCTGGACTTAGGCAGAATATAAGAACCAGCAGAATAATGTTAGAAATTAGAACCCACATGATGATGCATGAAATCTCCGGCCAATCTCCGATGACACCGAGCTCATCCGGCTTCCGTGGATGGCCGGACACCTTGCCGTGTGTGTGTGATAACTTGACTCTTGGCCAACAATTTCATTAATTTTAACCACATTTCATCATCTTTCTCACAAAAACTGACTTAAGTATCGGAGGGTCCTCCTAATAGAAATCAAGGATGACTTCCTCCCTCCCTCTTAGGTGTGCACATCCACGGCAGTTGGAGGAGCCTGGTGTCGTCGAAGATCAGCCGGAGATTTTGTCCATCATCAACAACCCATTTGATTTATCATCTGAAGTCATGTAATACCGATTTTTGATAGGCATCACTTTGGCTTTTGTAATCTCACAGTTTTTACAGTTTCGATGCTTACATTGTTGCAACTCCTTATCGACAGATGCTCAAGATGACCTTACCAGAGAATGGATTAAGTGTTACAGCCCGGATACGTCTTTCGGCCCAAAAGGCATTAGAGACGGTCCAATGATCAGGCCAAGCCCACTTAAGTCTTGGAGCCACAAAGCCCGGCCCATCAAGTGCTACTAGAAAGCACTCATGAGTAGATGCGAGCATTTACGACGGCCAACCAGCCCATGACCATCATGCCATGGTCCGATTTCTTCCTTACCGATGCGAGCTTTAAAAGCGGTGCTTCGGGGTATCGGGATGAAGTGCAAGAATTACAGAAGGGATGATGCAATTGGGTCGTGGGATCGGCGCTATGATGCCTGTATTTGGAGTTCGTTGGGCCAGTGATCATCTTTCTTTTTGCCGGCTCGGCTTATATCGAAATCGAGTATTATCGCGTAATGAACATTACCAATTACGGACCAACGCCAGATCACGATTAGGGTCGTTGAAGAGCCTAATTATTGCTCGTAATAATTGGAGTTCGAAAGGGTTCCCCTTTCCGCAAAGATCAAAAGCAAAATTAAAGGGTCAAAAAGGAAAAGAAGGTTAACTTTTTACATTGTAGTCCATGCTACGCTTCTCCAATGTGTAATTGCTACTAATTTTGTTGACACTCGTCATGTCGTCACGCTTGAGAAATTGCGTCTCGTTCATGAAGAGGCCAAGATAATATTGCCTAGCCAAAAGACAACATTGATACCGAATGGATAGACAATGGCTGATTTTATTGAACATAATAGAACTCGACTCCACCTTGTTGTGTAAAACCTGCTTTATCATCGTTGCAGAAGTTTACGTGAGAATATATATACATACGATTGATTCCTGAACTTTAACTCAATGTGCAATGTCGTCCATAAACTTTTAATATATTTAGTGTGGTCCATGAACTTTTTCTCAATGTATAATGTTATCCCCGAGCTTTTTATTTGTACAATATGGTCCATAAACTTTTGATACACGTTCAATTTAGTCCCTTTCGACCAAAAAAAAAATCTTGTTCCCGAATTATATGAAAATATTCAATGTTGTTCCTGAATTTAAATTAATAGAAAGACAATATTGTACATTTTCATATAGTCCACGGACTAAATTAAATAAGTACCGAAAGTTCGGGGTTCACATTTAAAAAATAAAAAGTTTATGAATGATATTACACATTGGGTAAAAGTTCAGGGACCGCATTAAAAAAAATTAAAAATTCAAGGACAATATTGCATACTGAGAACTAGTTTAAGAACTACTTGCATCATTTTCCCAATAAACAAAAGGTAATCCGCATCGAACCGCACTCGACCTCTCCCAAAAACCCAACAACGCAAACCGAAATCACAATCTCGTTCTTTTCCCTCAAGAAAAAAGACATCAAGGAGAAAGTAAAAAGCTGCAATGATTGCCACAAAGTTCGATTCATCACTGTCTTTTCCCCGCACGATTGATTTTGTTTGTTTATCTTTTTATTATTTTTTTCGCCATCGCTTTTTTTGGGAGCAAAAGTAGCGGGGAAGATCATATGGGTGTTAGAGATCATAAAGATCATTGACCAGTTTGTTTTGTCTACTAGCTTAGACCCAAAAGGAAGAATTGCCGATTTTAAGAAAGTTTCGCACCTATCGCATCAAATGCTTGATCTTGTGAGGGATACAACGTTCAAATCATCCAAGTTACTTGTAATTGCGTTCATTTTGATCCTGAAAGAATTTGGACAAAATTTGAATCACAAATTAAGGGTGATAGTTCATTTTAAAAAAAGAACTTCAAATTCTAAGAAAGTTTAGTTCAAATTGGATCAAATGTTCCATCTTATTAGGTTTAGAACTTTCTAATCATTCAATTTACTTATAATTATATTCAATTTTGATTCTAAAAGAACTTCAAATTTAAAGCACAAATTAAAAGTCGCGGTTCGTTTGGATTGCACTCGACCTTTTTCAAAAACTCAACGACACAAGCCAAAATCATAATCTCATTATTGTTGCCACAAAGATCAATTCATCAGTGTCTTTTCCCCGCACTGAGTGATCTTTTTTGTCTGTCTTTTTTAATTTTCCCATCACTTTTTTGGGGGCAAAAAGAGTCGGAAAGATCAAATGGGGATTGAGAACATTATAAAGATCATTGACCAAAGTGTTTTTTCTGCTGGCTTGGACCGTCTGACTCCACTTTCTCTCATTTTTCTTATATTACTTTCGGGAGTTTTCCTTTCTGGTTCAATAAGATACTTAATTTATTGTAATTTAATCGATTCAACTATGCAATAGCACCATCGTCGAAAAAAGAGAGGGACAAAAACCATGCAATATTAACAAAAAATTGCGCCCTCGTTCTTGCTAAATGTAAAATTCTCTAGTGTCAGAAACATG